ACTAAACTAAACAAAAAATTATATTGAACTTAATGATTAAGAAACTTAGTCAATGAAATTAAATTAGGCCACAAAATTTTGATGAATTAAAACTAGAGCAGAATTTAATAATGATAAAAACAATTATTTCACAGCTTGCGCAAGGTTTATGGAAACCTTAAGTATTCAGTATGAAATAATTGAATATAATATAATAATAATAATATAATATAATGTAATTGTGAAATAGTCCAACATACAGTGTTTTCATTTACATGAAACTTTATTCCATGACACTTCTTATCAAAATAAGAGTCTAGTCCAGTTCATTTTATTTTTAGTGGCTGTCTACTCATTCAGCTTGAGTTGACAGACAAAGACTAAAACTGTGATGAAAGGTGTTTGTTTTTTTTATCCAAAATGCTGAAACAAAAATAAACCTTGTTACTGTGAAAGGAAGCGTATGAAGTATTGCATAACTCTGAGGAAGCCATTACCATAGCTCTCCACATGGCACTGGATCACCTGGAACACAGAGGGACCTACCTACAGATGCTTTTCACTGATTATAGCTCAGTCTTTATTACCATTACACCAGACATGCTGATCAGGAAACAGCTCCACCTGGACCTTTCTACTCACCGCTCCAGTTGGATCATGAGCTTTCTCACAAACGGTCCTCAATCTGTCAAGTTTGGCCCTAACGTCCCCTCTACCCTTGCACTCAACACTGGCTCACCATAAGAGTGTGTGCTGAGCCCTCTACTGTACTCACTTTACACATATGACTGCACACCAAGCTACACCTCCAGCTCTGTCATCAAATTTGCAGATGACATCACAGTGATTGGACTACTCTCAGGGTGTAATGAACACGCTTACTGAGACAAGGACCAGAAATGAACAACATGGTGCTCTGCAAACAACCTGATAGTGAACACACAAAATAGAAAGAACTCATCCTAGACTTCAAGAAGTGCAGAGCAGACCACCCTCTCATCTTCATAAATGGAGACTGTGAGGAAAGAGTTCACAGCTTTAAACCCAACCCTCCTGGGAACCCACATATCTGACAACCTCTCCTGGTCTATCAACACCACAGCTGCTGTCAAAAGAGCACAGCAGCAGCTTCACTACCTGTGAGTCCTAAGGAACAACAACCTATGGAGTAAGCTGCTGGTGGCCTTCTACCACTCATACTGCCTCTGTGGTTTGCTGGCTGCTCAGCAGCCAACATAAAGGCACTACAGAGGGTCATCAATACAGCAGGTGTGTGGGTGTATTATGTGTAATAGCTGCCCGTTTTATGATGTTTATGATGAATGTTAGCATATGATGTAGAAGGTGATTCTGTGTGTGTATGGATGTATTATTTATGTAAAGATGTGTGTGTTCATTTATATCTATCTTTAACAGCTGGGAAGGGTCTCACAGTTTCATTGTATTTTGACACAATGACAATAAAGGCTTCTTATCTTTCTATATTATAAGTTTTACATGCAACTTGATCTCATTTTATGTATTTCATAATATTCTATGTATGTATGCATGTATTTATCATTATTATACCCTTTAACAAACAGTACAAAATGAGAAATTGGATTCTCATGTTAATTAGAAAGTGCTACACCCAGCTGCTGTGAAACCTCTCAACTTCCAGGCTGAACCAATAAAGTTCTTACAAACTTATTTGTCATAACACAGGCCCTCCCACTCACAGGTATAGTGCAGCCAAAACCAACATTGGCATGTAGTTCATGTTTCATTCAGCTGCATGCAATAAATGTTATTGGAGGGATCAACTTTTATAGCATCACATTGTCTGGAAATAATATGGAAACTATACACCTCGGTATTTTCGTGATACTGGTAAGAATTTATCTTTGATGGCAGTCTTTCTGAACAAAAAGGTTAAAAAATATTTAAAACAGTGCTAACTTATGTCTTATTTCTGTATCCCAACATTATTGATTGTTTTTAGAATCCATTTTCAACCGGTGACTCAAACAACATAAATCAGAATATGATTTACCATATGTATATAGGAATATAATCTACATATTAACAGGCCCTGTCCTGTTAATAATCAAGAAAACAACAAAAATGACAAAGTTATAAATTATAAGTATGTAGGGAGATTTTTTTTTGGTTGTCAACATTCAGAACTGCTACAAATTAAATATTTATCAGACTGAAGAACAACAAATACAGTAGATCCCTGCTATGCTTGTCAACATTAGCATGTAGGCTCTTTGCAGTTGTGTGCTGGAGGAGCAATCATGTGCACAAACTGAGTGGCTTTTGTTCAGTCTAATTGATAACATTTTTAAAAAGCTTTTGAAAATAATAAACATAAATATAATACACACAACATCTCAGCTGTATTTAGTCTAATGTACATAATGTGATTAAATGTGTTGGCAGTGTTTGGGAGTCGACAGGTCGTCTTCAGGAATTTTGCAACGACAAAAAAGAGACTGGATCATAGATTCTTTTAGTATCAGTGAAGGCTAT